TATCTTCGCCAGCTGCTCGACCAGTTTTAAACGAGCTGTGTTACAGGATTCCAGGTGCTACTTTTTTTTCCCCTTCAGTGTTTGCCACACTAAGACTATTGTGCATGGTGCTTTTCAATTCTCATCTAGTCCACGATTGCCATTTTACCTGTTTGGTTTATTAACTGAAGAATAATGAACACTTATCCTAACTAAATTAAAAACCAACAAACATTTGTTGACCTACGAATAGCTCACTTTTTAAGATGTACAAATTTCTTCCTTCTTTCATGTTTCTAACATACTGTTTTCTAATACTGATGTTGAAATAAATAGCTATGTGTAACATCTTGTAAATCCATTTCCAAGTAGAAGTCAAGTTTACTTCCTGGAGGAAGGAGTACTGAAAACCTCTTGAACCGATACAACCATTCGTGTGTGTTCTTGAACTGTCAGTATCAAGACGTGTTACTTCGATATTATCCATTCACTTTATAATTTTGTCTGCGAAATATTTTGTAAATACACTTTTTTACTTTTCAAACAACTGAGTAAAATAATGTGCAATGACTTTTATACAGATAATTTTAAAGTTGGTTGGTATATCTCCTCCTGAGTTTTGCTTGATTCCAAGTAGATGGTTACTTTGATCAGACTGTGCAGGCAGTAGTATCATGTGTAGCATTTTGAAACATTTTTTTCTAAGAATTGCTGTCTTGCTTTAGCTATTAATGGGGCATTGTGAGGAACTGTGCAAAGACATTTTTGTTACAAACCTGTGGGACTGTTGCAATACTTTAAATATAAAATTTTATTCCATTTTTGCTTGTTTTGTATAGACATTTCTATTGCTTCTAAATATGCTTAAAATATTTTCTTTCCTTATGTACTGTACAGTTAAATCTTATTTGCCACCATCTTGACAAAATGTGTATTTAGAATATTTGTATAACTGTATAAAATGGAAAAGGAATTATGTGGTCAGTGCATTGTTTTCTAAACTGGAAATCATTTTGTTTTAGAAGTTAATAATGGAAACCATATTAAAGTTGAATAAAATGATATGGTAAAAATTACATGGGTTTTCATATTTACCCTCAGCTGTAGCCACCTCTGTTGCCCTCGGTTGGCCCACAGCCAGTCACGGAACCCAGATTGCTCAAATAAGTTACAAATTCAGCTTAAGCTTTGGGATCTAAAACCTCAGTATCAACTCTTGGAGCCCTTCCCCACACCCAAAGAGAAGCGTTGCCAGTTTCCTGTAGTCACAACAGGAGTAAGTTTCAAATCTAGAAGTCCAGAGTAACTGAAAAATAGAACAAAACTTTATTTACATCAAGGAACCTGAGTGCCTTCTCCCATTAAGAATTTATTACATTCAGGATACAAGTCAGCCTATTAAATTTCACAGCACAACATACAATGTAAACCCACACCAAGCAGCATAAAACCTATTCAATATGTAACAGAACAGCCATGGACTGCAATGCATTTTTATGCGAAGTAACTAAAAAAAAAAAGTAAAATCAAGGCACAAAACTCTGCCTGCTCTTGCATTCTAAGCATTGCTCATGTGCAGAATCAAAGTGCAAGTGCCAGGACTAACCATATGGCTGTGCCTCGGAGACAAACAAAAATAAACAGACAAAAGGACACAGCTGCAGATTACCTTCGACCCTGGAGCAAATGGGCATGTGCTCATCTTCAACCTGCTCCTGGGTTTATGGATGGAAAATAGGAGTCTTTCTTACTAAATTCACATTTCTAATCCAGGGACCGCAGCTCTTGTCCTCAACACAGAGATGACTTCTCTAGCGTAAGCAAGGGAAGGGTAAAATTAAGTTTGCTTCAAGCTAGTTCAGCCCAAAATAATGGTGAAGTGTTCAAGCTTTCTAGAGGATCTGTAATGTAAAAGGCACCATAACTAGAGCCACACTGTAAATAAATCCTCACTTTACTTCTATGTGCCAGGATGTAATTTACTTTGGACAGAAATTTAAACATGAAAACTAACATTCAGTGTCTGAAAACAAGCCTTGAGGAACGCCAAAATCCACAAACTAGGAAAGCTACAGCCTTGAACATCAAGAATGTCTGAACTGCTGTGAGTTGGGCTCACAACTGGAAATGTCCTAGATCTGGTTTAATCTTATATTGCTTTAAACATTCCATTGTCATTACAGGGCAGCCCCTGCTATTGCGAGTCAGCTGCTAGGGGACAAGGAGAACAAGTCCTGGAAGTATATTCCATTTCAAGTCTGAGGCCAGAATTAAGACAGTGAAGGCTCCAAGTGCTCGCTAAGATGGCCCAAAATTTAGACATCATCCAGACAAAGGCCTCCACATACCAATCTGACGTGATGCTGCACGGTACCAGTCAAGATAATTTCAACTCTCTTCCTGACACTGCTTTTTTGGATGCTTAACTTCTGGCAAAAGGCTGCTCTTGCCTCAGCATTCCAGGCTGTTGCTCCAATCCTACTACACAGGCTTCCTGCTTCTGGGAGGGGAAAAATGGGGATGAATTCAAGTGACTTACACAGAGGTTAATAAAAACAAATAATAAAAAATAAATCTTTGTTTTGCACAGCATTTTTACATTGGTTGGGAAGACATTAGTCAGAAACACAAACATGCAATAAATAGATACGGTTCAAAGAGGTTATTTCCCAAAGCAGCTTTAATTTCATTTTCTGGTTCTTTTTAGTACTTGATTATGGAAGATGTGTAAACTATCCCTGAGAACTATCTTATGCGCAGGACATTCCAGTTCGGAATTTCATTCCAAAACCTAGTGCATGGATTATTTAAGATCTTCCTGGTTGCCAGGTGTCTCTCAAACTAATTTGCTTCTGGCAACATGGTCTCAGGTACATGGAAACTTCTTTACATCGCTGTCAGTTCAGGTAGAGCCTGTGGACTGCAGTGACAGCAGCAGGGAGCTGCCACGGACCAGTGTCTGTATCTCTTCTTGTTTGTCCTGCACCAAAGTCAGTCTCTGCCAAAGGAGACCTCTGCCCTCCTGGAAGGCCAGGAACAGTTCGCACTTCCTCCTCCCCATGCACCAGTGGGACCTGTCCTTAGAATCAGGTAACACCTCCCACTTTCTACACACAAAGCAGTTGCTGCAGCAGAGAAAAGGGGAAAAAGAAAGTTGAAACCACTCAGGCTTCATTGCACTCGTGTAGTCGCTCCCTCTGCCATTTGCTGTCGTATAAAACGAGACACACAGGATGACACAGACTTACTTCTGTTGAACAAATAGTCTCACGTGTACCTAGGTCAGGAGATCGCCTGACACGTAAAAGCATTTACCATTACTTTAAACAAAGAAGAGCCTAACAAGTGAAATAAAGCCTTATTTTAAAGTGCAGGTTCATGCACTGCACTGGGTAAGATGCACAGAAGTGCATGTAAGCACGCAAGGTAAAAAAAGGGAAACTGGGAAAAAACACAAGGGCATTTCAGAGCCGATGCAGAGGGAGAGGGAGGCCCTGCAACATGGCAAGATGCAAAACTAATGTGCATTTTCGCTACAAGCTGATTCCTGCTTCTTACACATTTTGCAGAAGAAAGGAGAAAGCCGCGAGATTCCAGGCTGCACACTTGGGAGATGAGAGAGGGAACAAAACCAGACCTGAAAGTAAGTATACAGAATACCTACAGTCCTGTGCTGTTACATCTAGAGCTCCTTCATTAATAAGCAAAATTTCTTAGCAAAAAAGATACTATTAAAAGTCAAAGTAAAAAGACCCTAAATATGAGCACATTCTGATCACACAGCCTTAAGGAAAAACAATACTCGACCTACAAATATGGAGAGTTTCACGCAGACAAATAGCAAGACTGCTCAGAGGCAGAGCCTGCCATGAGCTGCTGCGGTTTCTTCTCCTGCCGGGGGCTCACCACCAGGGTCTCCCTGCTCACAAACCCCCACTGCTGCTCTGCTAGGAAGTGTCCACCTGTAAGTCACCACCCAATGAAACAAAACCCAAACGCACCAGCCCAGCTGGCAAGGGGTGAGAGATCATGGTACAGGACAACCCAGAAGGATCCTCCCGTCAAGAATTCCCTTGGTCTCCAGTTCTCATTTTAACACATCCCTTGATAAAGTCTTGGCACAGGAAGTCAGAAAAGTTATTAGAACCTTAATTTAAACAACTGGCTTAAAAATACTACATCCCTGTCTCAGTACAATATATTAAGTAATCTACCTATACAGATGATTTTATCATCTTCAAACACTGGTTAATTCCAGTGGCAGTGCAGTCATTACAATCACAAGTACTTCAGACTGTTCAGATTTGTCACCACTGTTTTAACAAGTAAATCAGAATTACGCATTACAGTGATTAATAGGACCCATTTTGTCTGCCTTCCCATACCTCATTTTAAATGACCCCAAGGCATGCTTCTGCTCCCAACAACTGGTTTTTAGGGTTTTTTTCCCATCTTAGTGACAGAACCAGGAAAAGTATATCCTTTACCAACAGGTTGTCCAATTTGCAGCCTGAAATTTGACTTGATTGCCTGGTTTACATCACACACAAATTTTCAATGCAGTAGAAACTCCCCTGTCCCAAGGTAAGAAGGTTCAGCATGACAGGTAATGGATTTCTCCTCTCTCATGCAAACATTTTGTGACCAAGAACTAAGCACCTCTGAACCACACCCCAAAAAACCTGAGTGGTGTAAGCAGTCCCCTTCTTACCTTGCTAGTTCTTATTCCAGCATGCACTACTTCAATACATGCCTTACATTTAGAAAACATCTCTCACATTTTAACATTTCTGGCATAGTCTCTACATTTTATATCATCACCCCATTCACGTCACTGTGGACTTCCCCACTCTGAGCCACATCGCTGCAGACTGAAAATGAAAGAGGAGAAAGGGCTGGACAAGCACAGAAATGAACATGCTGAGCGCTGCGCCACTGTGAAAGGAGTCTTGAACCACTCTACAAGAATAGCTGCAATTCAGTTCCATTTCCCTTTAAAAAGAAGTCAGTCACCTTTTACTTCAGTCGTTCTTCTCCCGGTCAGTGTTCACATTTTTCCTCCCAGGGGAGCCACCAGCAACCACCGGAGGATCACACAACACATTGTCCAGCTGGGGCTGGAGAGAGACTTTGGCTGGAGAGTCCCCTGGTATTTTACGGGAGGTCTCTATCACAGAGTTTCTCAGTGTGTCATTCATTTCTATTACCTCAAAGTCTGCTTCATTCCACTCCCCCACATCCTCCTCATCTTCTTCATCCTCATTAAGCCCCACGTTTGACAACAAAGCTTTCCGGTCCTCGCTCTCACTCCTTTCTTTTAAGCTGCTCTCTCTGGGAGAGTTGGCCAATTTGTACATGAGAGGGAAGAGCACCACGGTGGCTGCAGACGTTACCAAGGCAGTGTACATAACCACAGGGACGTGGTGAAACCTGCCCTGAAGATAGCCCACCACAGCAGGGATGCACATCTCGCCCAGTGCGGCGCCAATCACGAACAGAGAAGCTGATTTCCCCTGCACCACTGTGTACTGTTCTATCCAGGAAATGCCGCTGGGAAAGATGGTGGCCATTGACGCTCCATACACAGCAGTTCCAACCCAGAGCAAGGCTGGGGACCTCGCAAAGAAGGCCAAGCACGAAGAGGAGACAGCAGAGCCTACGATACTCAGCACGATCATGGTGCCAGGGTACAAGCAAGCAGCACAGAATATCGCCACTCCTCTGCAAGCGGCAAACGTGCCCCAGAAGACGGAATTCAAAGCAGCTGCTTCGTTTTCTTTCATCTCGGCAAAGACTTTTGCGTAAGTAAATATGTAGGAGCCGTATGTGACCTCTGCTCCCACATAGCAGAAGAAGAACACGAACAGGAGACTGATAAGTGCAGAGTGGTATTTGGCAAACACGCACTTCTGCAGGGAGGCCTTGGATTTGTCCCGAGCTGAGCTGCTCTTTGAATACAAAATAAAAAAGAAGAAAGAGACTAACAGAAGATAGGTGCCTATGACAACATAGGACCACAGAAAATCTGCACCAAGATGGTGTTTCAGCACTGACACAGCTGATGCAGCCGATGTTGTCGGCACAGACCTCAGCACAGACTGGTTTGTCTTTTCAGCGACTGCAAAGTCTCTAGAGTCAGAGCCTCCCAGAGCCATTTTAGCCAGGATTGGAGCCACAAAAGCACCGACAGCAAAACTGAAGTGCAAGGCCTGCATATGAGGCCCAGCCTCTGCTCCCCATGTGTTCAGTGCCAGTACATTGCCACCTGCAGATCAGAGAGGAAGATTCAGTCCTTTTAATCTGAAAACAGATATTGTTTTAAAGAAAGGACAAAACAAAACAAACCGTAAACTAGAGTTGCAATTTGCAATAATAGCAGGTTTAGCAAATACAATATGCAAAACTCTAGTTAACTAAAATTCTGCCTCTAAGCACCTTAAACCCACATGAGAGCTTGAGCTTTAGGAGGGAATTCACAGCAACCAAAATGAGGATCCATGCAATGGCTTAATCCAGCAGGCATGGCTGTATTTAATGTTGTGCCAGGGGAGGCTTAAACTGGATATTAAGAAAAAGTTCTTCACCGAAAGGGTTGTCAAGCATTGCAACAGTGTTGAAGTCACCCGCCCTGGTGGGATTTAGAGGATGTGTAGATGTGGTGTTAAGGGATATAGGTTAGTGGTGGACTTGGTAGTGGTGTGTTAACGATTGGACTCCATGGTCTCAAAGGTCTTTTCCAACATAAACCATTCTATGATTCTAATTACCCTACTTGACAATATGCAGCATTTTTCAGCCTGTTTTCAGAAGAGCATATTTAACTGCTTCTCATTTCTGTAAATATTAAAAGCAACAATGCACAAGGTGAAGAACCAGAGGCCTCATTAAACAACATTGCAGGAAACATCAAGAATCACTTGCTTCTGAGGGGCTGGGACTACCCCAACTGCACTCAAATGACTTTCCAGAAGCAGAAAGGTTTACAACTACACTGCTGCAAAGACCAAATTACAACATCCTCAGATCAACAATAATGCTAGAGAATAAGGTCTCAGATGTTTTTAATTAGTTCCTGAGAAGAATGCAGGAAAATAGTAACAGTTAATCAAATTCCTGTGCTACAGTACAGCAGCCTGTATCACACAGCACTGACACTCTTCCAAATGAATTAATTCAGTTGCTGCCTCGCTCTGAGTATCTCCAGCTATTCCTGCTCAGACTGGGAAGCCTCCCTGCCCCAGGGCTCTGACATCCGGGCAGCACACCCACCCACTGGAGGCATTTTTACAATTACCTGACAAGATTTTCCCATATGAAGAATTGTTAAACCAAGTGCCACGTATAATGATTCTGCCAGAGGCAGCAAGTACACCTCTGCACTCAGGTTATTTAGCATAACTTGTGCCAGGCAAAACCGTATTTTTCACTGCTAGATTCTGTATCATGTTCTCGTTAGTGTTAACAGAGTTCCCTCAAACTCCACAGAGTTACAGCAGATGGCTCACATGTGCAGCCACCGTTCCTCTGTGCTGCCTACCAGCCAAGTCACCAAAACCAGGCCCCAGCTGGGATGCTTCCAGAGCTGTTTGGATAGCTAGGATAATACACCAGCCAGCTCTTTCTCAGAAATAAGCCTGCCCTCAAAGTGGTCAACCAGACCCAGCAGTACCTTGCTGGCTGGTAACCACAGGCTCCCTCGGTAAGCCAGGCAAGCCAGCACACTGCTGGCAGAGCACTGCAGGGGTGCCAGGTGAGCACTGCCTGCTGCAGCTCCACCTTCTACAGCAACACCCCAGCACACCGCTGTATTCTTGGCTGTTTCCTGATCTCCATCTGCAAGTCCACCAGCATCACCCAGTTGTCTCTAAGCATGCTAAAGTCTCCTGCAGAGGCCTTGCCTCCTGATCCAAACTGCCAGCCATCACTAACCCATCCTAAGCCATGTCCAATGAAATAATTCCTATGGGAGTTTGTCATCCCTCTGGCACAACTGACCTTTGCAGCCACACCTGTAGACATTCGCTCTGCACTCTGACCGGTACATCTTCCTCCATAAGGAATCTCTACTAAGAAATTGGGTTTGAGCAGCTTTCCAACAAAAGTGGGGTTTTTTTTTTCCCCAGGCTATGGCAGTCCCTGTCTGCTGTGAATCCCCAAATGCCACCTACCCAGCTTTAGGTGGGCAGCTCTCCAACACAGCAACTGTGAGAATCTCAAACACCAGCACTTGCTTGCACAGGACTAACATAGCTCCAGCTAACGCTAATGACCCGTGACCCGTCCAGCTTCCTGTAGGTGAGTAATTTCAAGCAAACACTGCTTAAAGAGCACCTGACACTTTCTCTTATGCTTGTAACTGCCCACTGAAATGTGCACTGATCTCCAGGAAGGTACCCAGCTCCCACACTGGTTACAAAGACACAAACACTGTTAAGTCTTGGGATCAGAATAATCCAAGAATCCCAGCCAAGTAAAACAGCTCCCTCTTTTAATTCGGGACATGTCACATGAAATACCAGCAACGGTTTTGTTGAGCTTGAATTTTCCAGTGAGTTCAGTGAAGGAACTGTCGGACCACGTGGTCCCTTACCTGTGTCTAGAATTCCCATGGAAGCTCCAATAACTGACATCAAGACAGTTAGCAGCAGGGATTTCTTACACCAGGGTATCCCATACAGACCAACCGTTGTTCCAAACATGGATAATGCTGGAAAGGTTAAAAAAAAACAAACACAAAACATCCAGAGTTTCCATTTAAACTACAAAACATACAGAAGCCCAAGAAACACAAATAAATTCATAATTATTAAAGTTACAGATAATCCTAAAAGGTGATGTAAGCCAACTACCTCAATTCCTGAGCAGCAGAGCAGCTAGAAAGTTCCGAAGAATCATTTTTCTCTTGGAAAAACAGGAATTTCACTACAATTTAAACACTACATGAAAAACCTGTTTTGCTACAGCTGTATTTGCAAAAGGAGCAGCATCTGCTGCTACAAGACTAACAAGTCTTCTGCAAACTTTTGATTTATAAGAGCTATTTCAGTATCTTCTGCAAACTTCTAATCTAGAAATGTTACTTTACCATGAAAGAAGCAAAATGTGGTCTCAAACAGTATGAATTGTTCCCTCCAAGAACTACAGAGCATTAGATTTGGCTCCATTTTAAAAGGACCCAAATCACTGAACTTGTAAAATCCTAGAAAGAGGTTGCATCTCGGCCAGATGATGGAGGTGACCTCCATACACAAATGCCAACTTTCATTTATATTCTATTCCCACATGACAGATGTATTCCAAAAGATTTCTGGAGTTTTAAGGACAGAACTACAAAATTTCTCTTCATAAATGTAGCAGCAGTTCATTAACTGTATCAGTTTTGCTATTATTAACTGCAACTACAATGTGCCCTTTCAAAAAATATTTTTTAGCAGAGGAAATTATTTTCATTACCATTTGGGAGGACGTTCAGCAGTTAAATTCTATGCTTATAATCACCACAGTAAAATAATCTGCAATTAATAACTTGAATATACAGTATTAGGTTTTTAGAAAGCCTGTACCACTTCAGATGTCTCTATTATTTTTCAAATCAATGATTAGGTGGAGCAAATACTTACAGATAGATAACAAGGACAATGTAATTAAAAGCTTGGGTTAATTCCAAACAAAAACAACATAATCATCTACAAAGGTAAAAATAAACATCCAGAGCCCTAGAGCCCTAGCCAGATACTCAGCATACATGCCTCAGGACATTTTTGAAGGCTAGCATACCAAGCTGCACGAAGAAAAAGCTAAAGATGGGGTGCACTAAGTAAAGCTTCACAGAGGCCCCACTCAGAGCTGAAAAGTAACTTCCCAGCAACTTCTCAGTCACCCATTTCAGCTCTACGCCTAAATGCTTCCTTGATGAAGACAGATTATGACATTTTTTTCTCTGTACAGTAGCAGAGTTTCAGGGAGGTAAAACTACACCAGCCATAACCTCTTTCAAGTAGTCCTCAGACAATAAAAATGAGAGATGATTCAGTTGCTTCATTGTGGTTTTGCCATAAGCACTACCAAACTGGAATGGATTAGGAGGCGGAACCATCTTCCAAGCGCTGGTGATAGACAGCTATCCTATGTGGTACCTGAGGAACAGACACAAGTACTAAACTATTTAAATTAACACTAACTTCCACAGATGTATCAATGCCACTGTGGAAAGTAAAGGCTCACATGTCAGACAGAGACTACTCTGACCTTGTCAGATGCACAGAAGCCAAAGGAAACCCGCTTTACTGGTGTTCTGGAGGAGAGGAATAAAGAACAGGGAGGAGACCAAAGACATCTTAGAACAAGAGCAAATAAGAACTGAGCCAGGAAGATGAAGACAAGAAGGGGGGCAGGGGGAAAGGGAGAAGAAACATACATTGTATGCCATGACTGCTCCTGACAGCAGGAAACAGGCATACAAGGATAAGAAGAGACATAGTTCAAAAACTAGCAATGGAAAACGGATTTTCTCACGTCCTCTGAACTCCTCCTGTGATTACAGCAGAGTTCTATAGAAAAACTTAGTTCTGTTTGAATCTCCCTGAGTAAAAGTATGGGAAGGAGAAGGAAAAGAGGGAGCCTCAGTACCTGCTTTAGTCCCTAACTTAGAGCACCAAGGCACATGCTGACATTACTGCACTTGAAAGGAAAAAAAAGACAGAGCTTCCACTATTTTAGGTGTGTGCTCACAGCAACTGAGAGAATCCCTACCTGAAGAAGATGCTAACACAACTCTAAAAGAAGCGTCTCATCTCTGGGTGCTGAGCATGCCTCTAACAGCTAAGCAGTCCCACACTGCCAGAGCAAAGCCAGTCCCATGCTCCTACAGGAGAGTTTCCATGTGTCCAGAAAACTGCTATGATCATAAACAGGGCTCCTTTAAAGTTTAAATGTTTTCATAGCCAGGCAGCAACTGAGCAAGCAAGTTTCCACCATCACAGGTGGCACTTAATGTTTTTCCACTTTAATTAAGTTCTATTCAGTTAAGGCCCTCCAGTCAAAATCTCAGTACTTCTGTGCAGTATGTGAACCTGATCACTCCTGGCAAGCTTTCAGAAAGGGAAGGGTTTTACAAAGCTCTCCCCACGCCTCAGCACGACTGCTCAAGGTTTCCGCTGTGTGCATGTGAAAGCCAAAGCCCAGCTTCCCCATTTTGTTCATGCATTTCACAGAGTGACATTACACAAACCTGTATATCCCAAGAGGATATATACGAAGCCTATTATTTGATACACAGGGTAAAAGTTAAGCCAATTGTACCTTTTGCACCTTTTGCAATTGTACCAATTGCACCTTTTGGTCAATCCAAACAGGTTTTGCCAGCTCAAAACAGTTACCACAATTACCATGCCCAGCC